TATCAAGGGGTGAGGGAGGGACAGTCCCACTGTGCTGAATAGTGTATCTCAGATCCACTTTCTCCCCTTCCATACTCTGACCCTGGAAAGCCAAACTTCAAGAATGACACAAACAGACTCCTTTCCATCCAGCTTCTGGTTGGGATTTGCCCAAAGTAGGAGTTCTGAAGGTGGGAGGAGAGTGAAGTCAGAGTATTTACTTGGCCACCTTCCTCTCTGCCGGGCTGGTAGTGGCTGTTCCTCTTCCGAAGGTCATAGCTCCTGCCAGCCACGCTCCTTCGGTTTCTCCTTTCTCTCAGGGTTCTTGTAACCCTTCGTCTCCTTGCACTTCTAGAACTAAGACCAGGGGACAACAGCTGTTGTTAGCTAACAACACTTCTCTTTCCCTTGTCACATTCACTTAACCCTGCCCACACCCTTGTAAACAGTTCCTTTATTAATCTCTTCTCAGCATCTTCATTTGAGGTGCCATCTGTTTCTGCTGAGACTCAGTGGATACGCATATCATGCAATTAGGAGGAGAAGTGGGAATCTGGTGGATGCGGTAGGGACGGCCTCACTGAGTTGAGAAGCCGCACTGAGTCGAAGCAACAGTGGGAACTGCAGTGAGGATAACAGATCACACAATTGCTTTGCATCCACCGTTCCTTCACTAGCAGGGGAAGGAGCCTGAGCTCAAAAGCAAGGCAAATTCTAGCTCCACCATATGCTAGCTGTGATATGAACCTCTCTGGACCTCAGTTTCTTCATATGCACAATGGGTATAACACTGCTTCCCTTATTGGGTTGTTTAAGGATCCAGAGAGATAAGTATCGAAAGAACCAAACTGTAGTAGGCAGAATAATGCCTCCCAGGGATTTCCAAGTCCTGATCCCTGGGAATCTTTGAATATGTTCTTATACATGGCAAAAGAGACTTGTGAATGACTTTAAGGTGACAGACCTAAAGATGGGCACCCAATCTAATCACCTGAGTACCTAAAAGTAGAAGGAAAGGAAGAAGAGTCAGTACAATAGGAGAAGGCTTTAATGTGTTATTGGCACTACACACAATTACCCAAAGCAGGCCTATAGATGCTAACCTCCACCAAGATGGCAGCGAGAAAGGAAATGGGGGCCTTGGTCCTACAGACACTGAATTCTGCCAACCACCTGAATGAACCTGAAACTGGATTCTCCTCCGGAGCCTGCAGAAGGGAAAGCAGCCCAGCCAGTGCCTTGATTTTGGCCTTGGGAGACCAGAAGCAGAGAAACCACTGGACTTCTGACCCACAGAACTGTGAGATAATGAACGGATAATGTCTTAAGCCCCTAAATTTGTTTGATAGCAATACATACACCAGCATGGTGAGGTCTTGGTGCACTGTAAGCACCCACTACATGTATGTTATCTGTCCTCAAAGAGGAGAGTTAGGCAGGATACAGAGAGGCCTTCCCAGGAACCAAACATTAAGTGCTCTCAAAGAAACATGTCTGCTGCGATTTCACAACCAACCTAGAAGCTGGCTTCCCCTAGTACTTTCCAGATGTCATGACTATGGGCCCCTACCTGAGTTGCCTCCAGCAATAGCAGCAGGAGGAGTAGGAAGTGCCCTGCTCCTCCCTGGCCGAGGCAAAACAAGCCTGGGCACAAGGACATCGCCACAGAAATTCACACCAGATCAGACTGTCATCTCTCAGGTAGAACATCCCCTACCTGAAATCCTCAGTCCTCCCATCCTCCTCCTTGGAGGCAGTTTCGTTTGTAGTATTTCCCCCTAATTGAAGCACAGGATAGGAAGGAGATCATTTCCTGCTGCTGGAGCCTTCCTTCTGTTTCCCTAAGCGAAATCCATCTCTCTAACCACATGTCAATATCTCCCAGCTGCCTAACCATCTAAACCCAGTCCTTGCCTATTGAGCACAGACATTCATTGCTACACTGCTTTATTTGATGACCAGGGCATCTGTGCTTTCGTAAGTGGGTCAAGTTTAAATAACACCCTAGGACGCTGGGCTCTGAGCCAGGTATCAGAGATGTGGGTCCCTCAGTGTTTAATCACCAACAAAGTATACAGAAGAACATGTGGATTAAGGGCTACCCACTGGGAACAGACTTGTGTCTCTGGCTTGAATCAAAATTGTAGACACTTTGCAAAATCACTGCCTCTTCAGGGTTTCGGACCAGCAGTTGGTGATCCTTTCAATCAGAGGCAGGGAACATCCAACTCATGGGCCATATAAGACCCACAAAATCAACATCACATACCTCACCAAATTAGCCTGACCAAATAAAGCAGGCTAATTTATAAGTTGATAATTTTGTATGGCCCTCGAATGATGTTATAAATATCCAAATGGCCCTTGGCAGAAAAAAGGTTCTCCACCCCTGCTTGATAATAATTTTCACTGTCCTTCTAGAGGGCTCATCTCACAATAAGAAGATTGTAATAATAGGAGCTAATATTGATTGTGTACTTATTGTGCACCAGGCACTGCTCTATGTAGCTGGAAAAGTGTGAACAGTAAATTCTCAAGGCAATTTAAAGAGCTAATTTCTATTATTTTTACTACCTAGCTTTACAAATGAGGAAACTCGGGCTCAGAAGGGTTAAGTAAACTCCAAAGTGCGCGAACGTGTTTCTGTGCACTACATATCACACCGATTTTCTTGGTTGATTCAACACACACAAAGCTTTTAGGTCTCGACCAAGCACTGTGACAGACCCTGGAAATATAAATGTACCCAGGAAAAAATTCATTTTCTCCTAGCTAACATGATAGAAGAGGAGATAGATATTTACAAAGAAATATATAGATGCAGTTTATTAACAGCATAAAGGGCAATGGAAGAGGTAATTAGATGTTATAAGTTGAAAAGAAAGAATAGGAAAAAAAAAGACAGGAAGAGAGACAGAGAGAGAAAAGTATCACATATAATCCTGGGCAAAGTGCTCATTATTCCCCTTTCCCTTTGTTTCCTCATCACTAAAATGGAGATCATAATACCCATTCCAAGGCTCTTATAAAGATTAATTTTGGTAATAAACCGAATGTGTATTACCTCTGTTCAGAATATTCTAATATGCATTACTCTCTCACCTTCCACCCAAGAAACCCTTTACATAAAGATGAGATGAGCTCAAAATCCAAATAAAAATGGCTGGAAATGTTAAAAGGGAAACAGAAATGTAAGGTATTTAGATACTGGGGAAAATTATCACAGAAGATAATCAAACCTAGGCCTCCTCTTGCCCCATCATCAAAACACATCCCAGCTGGATTCTCAAGAGCCACGGTGGTCACCCAGGTGGCCTCCTATTCCCCAGACTTAAGACTACTCCATTTTCTGCACATAGCTACCTTAAGCACATAGCCTCAGCAGCTCTCAGAGGATCATCATTCCGATGCTACCTCTGAAGTTTGGGGACAGTCCTTCCCAGTCACTCTTCAGCATTAGGGGGTTCAGTTGGATTCAGGGACAGCTGACAGCCTTATTTAGCCAACCAGCTGCTCTGTGATACACAATGTCTGGAATGCTCTAAGTCCGGTGGATGATTCTTTTGTATCCATATATGCAGCAGTTGGAGGAGAATCCATCAGTCCCTTTAATAGCCACAGGGTGTCAAAGTTGCCATTCAAATCATGACCACCATAATTATTCACCATTGTGTTAGTGACATATCTGCTTTCCGTTCCTTTTTTAATCATTAAAAGAACAATCAAATTCACTGGAGCAATGCTTATCTCAAGTCACATCAACACATTTATTAAATCCCTTCTGTTTGCCCAGTTGAATGGGAAGTCCTAGAGGAGGTAATACTTAAAATGTTTTCTGATTTTAAAGAATTGATAGTGCTCTGGGAAAGAGGTTTACACAAGAAAACCATTAAAACTTTCATGCTATATAATGCGCTGCTACAGAGTGTCAGAGAGTGGAGATTTTATTTCCTGGGTTTTATTACTATGGGGATGGGTTGCGATGGAGGAGATGCCATGGGTAGAGGACTTGGAGACATGGGAGAGTGTGGTGGGAAATTACTTTCTTTTCCAGCAGGTGAGAGAAAAACAACCAAAGGAGCGAGCGGACAGGATATGCAGCCCATTAGAGTAGCCACCAGAGCCTGACTTCGTGACAAGAGAGTTCATCATTTAGGATAAATGTTACTGGTAGTTTTAAAAAGGCTTTTGCTTCAGTTTGCATTATGTGGCCTGTGTAATTAATTCCGTGAGATATTGAAAGAAGGGGAAGGGATTAGCAAAAAAGCATATTTACATAACACAGACAGTGCGACTGGTGGAGGTGGGCAAAGGAGGGGGGAGTTGGGGACATAAAGAGACTATGCTTGGGGCGATGGACACAGATGCAGTGTGAGGATGTTTTATTGATTTATACACTTGAAACCTGTATGGTTTTGCGAACCAAAGTCACCCCAATAAATTCAATTAAAAAAAAAAATCCTTGTTCATACTGTGGCTTGGGGCCACATTTTGAATCCATTTTTTTTTTTTTTTTTTTTTCCCCAAGCAGGCGAGGGCAGTGGAGGGAGGCCCGCTGGGCCCAGGGCGATGCGAGAAGCAGGAAGGAACGCGCGGAGAGAGCAGGGTGCGCTGAAGTCCCCAGCGAGCGTGGGAACACATGCCCAGCCTCTCGTGGCGAGCGGGGACACGCACCCAGCGCGGGGATGGTGGAGGGTGAGGCGGGGCGTGCCCGGGAAGCCCGACCTTCGCCACCTCCCGGGAGCGGGCTCCGGGTCTCGGCGGAGCCAGAGGGAACGTTTCTCGAGTCCACGAATAGGGAGGACTCGCGTCAGCGGCCTCCGCGGCGGGGCTGGGGCGAGGGCGCGTGCGCGTGCGCGGCCGGCGGGCGGGGGAGCGGGTTGCAGCGGCGGGAGCAGCGTGCGCGCGGCCGGCAGCCTGGGCGGTGGGTTCTGATTGTGACAGGCAGCGGCGCGGGCTTCTGAGTCGGCGGCGGCTGCTCCAGACACGGGCGGCGGCGGCGGCGGCGGCGGCGGCGACCCCGCGGCGGCGCGATGTGGCCCCTGCTGGTGCTGCTGCTGCTGGGCACGGCGTCCTGCGGTGAGTGGCCCCTCGATCCTGGCTCTGCGGCTCGCGTCTTACCGCCTCCGCGGCGCCCCCGCGGGCGTGTGGGCTGCACCCCGGCTGGCCCCGCGGCGCCCTGGCGAGGGTGGCCGGGTGCGGGACGTGCGGGCCCTGCCCGCCCCGCTGCGAATGTGGAAGGGCCCCGCGGGTAGTCGGGCGCCCCCTTCCTTCCTTTCTTTCCCTCCTCTTCATCTCCCCTGGGTGACAGCGGGGCTCATCTCCTTCCCCCGTTCTCCGCCTCCAGATGCACACACCAAGACTCCAGACCGCGCACCTCGCGCACAAATTAACTGTAGGAAGAAAGGGCGCGATCGCAGGCGAGTGGGTGGCAGCTGTTAGGGTCCCCCCTCTTTCGCACCCCTCTTCCCCCCTCGGTGCTTAAATGCACTGGGGATGGAGGGAGTGGGAGAGCCCCGGCCTCTGGTGATGGAAGTGCGCATTTTGCCGAAGTCTGCAAGACGGTGTATTTTTTTTTTTTCCCTCTGTTTGCCCTCCCACATGAACATAGGAGTTAAGGGGACATGACGGGTACAATTAAGTTTTATTTCCAGACCACCGTTTAATCAGAAGACTCTTCTGGCCGCCTTTTTTTTTTTTTTTTTTTTTAATCTTAGAAATAGGCTTCCTGGAAACTCGCTACCTCCACGCCCCACCAACCACTTTAATACAGTCCAGATTGCTCATTCAAGTTTCCCCACTGTGTCTGGGGAATCGTTTAACAGTAGTACAGATTTCGCTTGAAATATGAAGACAGTAACCCCTAGTCAAAACATATTTGCAGCGAAGTGGAATTTGGTGTTTTTCCACGCCAAAGACGTGTTGGCCCCAAGCTTTTGGAACCCATTTGTTGGTTTGTTTGTTGTTTTTAAATGTGTGCTTCCTAAATACTGAGGGAGGATTATTATTACTTGTGTGTGTGTGTGTGTGTGTGTGTGTGTGTGTGGCTCTATAGGCAGGGCCTGTAAAATTTACATCTGTAGAGCCTTTGCGAACTTTTCCCAAGATTCAAATTGAGTTTGAGTAGCTGTAACAAGCAATTGTTATACTTCATTCTAGAATACTAAAAAATTAGATTTTAACCTGATTATTAGCATCACTGAGCCGTGCATAAAGGCTTGTGACTTCAGCTATTTTCAAGATGCTCATAAGATCCTGCTTACCACTTTCCCCTCTCTCCGAATATCCTGAGATGTTGGAGCTGTTAATCATCATTATATCTATCATCTAGATAAAGTAGTGTTCCCTGTCATTATCATTAATGGCTTGTTGCTATTACTATCAAAATAGCTAAAATAATACTGCTTTCAGAAACCTTTTTCTGGTCAGAAAGATTATTGAATCAGATTATAAATTTGTGATAAAATGTCACTAATTCAGGCTGTAGGCATCAGAAGCTCTTCTGAAGAATAAAATTTATAAAGCATGTACTGTTTTAAGAACAGGGGTCCTGTTTTCAAGTAGATTAGAAAGAACTGCTAGAATGGTACTTTTGGGGATTGGAATTCTGTTAGGCCTCCTTTACTAATAGTTAAGATCATGTATAATTAGCACTCATTTACATATATTATCAGTGTGCTGAAGTCCCTATAGAGTAATAAAATTCAGAATTTATGGTCTCTTATTGTACTTAGTTAATAACCTGGAAAAAAAAACCAAAAAAAACAGAATAGAAGCATTGTGCATTTAAGTTCTGTTAAGAGTTGAATATAAACCAGCAAGTGATAGTATTTGTCGTTAGATACAATGGATTTTTGTGTGTGTTTAATATTTAGTTTTAAAAGGGCATGTGTGAAGAGATGCTGATAGTCTTAGAACACAAGTAGTTATAAACCAAGGTATTTGAGAGACTGAATTTAGAATCTGGAATGAGTAAGGAAGTCCATGAATTTGTATGTTCCTTTATACTAAAACTTCAATTTTGCTTTCAGTTTCATTAACAAATGACTGGTAATCAAAGTGCATTTATTGGTAGCCTCTACAGTTTCACTTGACCTTTGTAGTAAAGTAGGTTATCTAAAATGTTCATCCCATCTAGTTACAGGCAAACTGTAACCCCCTGTATTGGTTTACAAGATGCAGAATGAATTATTATAATCCTTTCCTCCCCATCCCCCATATGTCCAATTATACTTTGTTTAAAAGCACATCAACATTTTTAGTGGTATTCACAAACTGGTAAATAAAACCTTACTCAAATAATGACAGCATGTGAATGAGTAATTGAATAATTTTTCAAAGTGAGTTTTTAAAATCCAGGGTATACATGATTTAAAAACATGTTTATTGTCTAAGTCTAGTAGTAATTTGGCTTGCTTAAAAGAAATTGTTTTCTCCTAAAAAAAATATTACTTTTAAACACAAGTTGCCATTTTAAGGAAGTAACTGCCTATTTACAAGTACTTATTTGTGGGGCTGCCCCAGCAGTCTGGAGGCAGTGTGTTAAAGCATTATACTAAATGCCTGCCATTAGGACATTTGCTCATGCTGTCATCTGTATTTTGGCAGATGTTTTATCTTTGCTACTGAGTTGTTGATGGAGATTTTTGTTTTTCTTTTTTTTTTTTTATCCTCACCCAAGGACATTTTTCCATTTTTTGTTCAGGTAGAGTGGGGTGGGGAGAGAGAGGAACAGAGAGAGAGAGAGAAACATCGACGTGGAAGGGACACATCGAGTGGCTGCCACCCACACAACCGACCAGGGCCGGGGACAAACTGCAACCGAAGTACATGCCCTTAGCGGGAACCGAACCCGGGTCTCTCCAGACCGCAGGCTGACGTTCTAACCGCTGAGCCAAACCGGCCAGGGCTGTTGATGGAGATTTTTAAAGGCCAGGTTCTAAAGATGAAAAATAGGTGTTTTTCCTGAAATTGATAGCCTAAATCCAAAATTATTATTCATATTATTAAAACTAAGTTTGTATTCCTTAATGTCAATTCAACTATTGCTAATATAGGCATTGCTTTTAATACATTAATGTTATTTTTGTGACACAATTTTTATAAAGCCATTTACCCATCTTTTAGGTTTTTGCTGTTGTATCTTTTTATAAAAGATAAAAAAATTATATATTTTTATATCTTGTGTCTTAGCCTAAATAATGTACTCTTGGGTTATCATAAAGCTACTTTCACTTATACTAGTGCAGATATTTTTTATATGCTAAAAGAACAAGAATAATAGTGTAGGATCAGTTTTACTGAACTCATATGTAATACTAAAGTAAAAAAATACAGAGCACCCAGGAAATGTGATTCTGACAGACCAAGACAAAAACAATAGAATTTGGGTTTTCCCTCCTTGTGGTTATGTGGAGGTGAAACAGGAATTAGAAGCTACACCCTCCTCTGTTTCATTCCATATCCATGGAGCAGTTGCATATGGCTCAGAATCTGGTCAACCCTAGGGTGTGAGAATACTTGTACATATTTGAATACATGTTACACGTATGGGTTAAAAGACAAGGCAGGGATTTGGCAAGTGCAGGGTCTGTCAAAATGGCTTTTTCTGTTTCAAGCCAAGAATGAGCCTTTGCTGTTCTCCAAGCACTTTGCAAGGCCCTCTTTGACACAGAGACACATTTCAAATTCGATACCTCTTAATAACATAAAATGTTGTTTATAGATAGTAGGGATTTTTTGTTTTTATCCTTCAGTGGTTCTTAATATATTTTAGGTGCTTGATAAGGCCTTAATTCTGGATGTTGCTGACTTTAAACTGTAATTCTAGCTCAACCACTTCAATTCTTGTAAGGCCACTTTAAAATCTAGTGGGGGATTACTTTGAGTCAGAACTAAACACTTTGTGGAACCCCCTCTTTACTCCAGACCTTATTTGATCTCTATTGAGGAGAGATCTGACTAAATCCTTTTTTTTTTTTAACTCTAATTCTAACCTGATTCAGTTTGAGGCTCCAGTTTTTCATACCAGGGTCAGGGTCTGATGGCAAAAAGAGATTCATTTTTAGCAGATATCTTTACTCATGAGCTTTGCCTCATTTACCTTAGTGACTGCTGGGACTTCTCATCCCATTCCTGAACATCCATTCCAAGCAGATAATTAACTTCCTACTCTGCCGCAAAAAAAATAGTGATGTGTGGTGTAGTCTCTGTCAGCTTCCCTCCCACCATTTCTAAACTCATCTATAATATCTTAGGCAACCTTTATCTCTTTCTCCTTTCTCTCTCAGTTCCCGAAGTATACCTCTTCACCTTTTTAAGGGAAAGATCACCTGTCTACAGCTCTTCACCTCCACCATCTTAGACACCTACCTAATCAGTTTAATTCTTCAGTCTTGTATCTTTCCTTCTCCATTGGTTCTTTCACCTTAGTGCAGACATGCTTAAGTTTTACCCCGTATTAAAAACAAACAAACAATAAATACAGTCACACCTTGGTTCTCGAATGTCTCCCATCTCGAACAATTCACTTCTCAACCCAACAACCCTTTCATACTGATACCTGTATAATCAGTCACACTCTCAGGAGACAAAGGAGAGAGTGTGTGAGTGTGAGTTTACCGCTATTAACATCTCAGGAAATTGTGCTGTGAATATTTTTGTGGTTTTTTGTTTTTGTTGCTGATTATTATTATTGTTATTATTAAATTTTCATTTTTTACTGTATATTTTATTTACTTTTTGTTAAATTTTTATTTACATTTCATGTCCTTTTTGTTCTTAATGTGTTTATTTATAAATGAAACACTACATTAGACATGTACTATATATAAGAAAGATTAAAACAGGGAATCATTTGGGGGTCTGGAACAGATTAATTCAATTTATGTAATTTCTAATCGGAAAAAATACTTCAGTTTTCGAACAGCCTTCTGGAAGGAATTAAGTTTGAGAACAAAGGTTCAACTATAAGTAAATAAAAATAAAAACAAACAAGAAGAACCAACAAGTCTTGCCCTTGTTCCTGTCTGCACACTTCTCCATTTTCACCTTCTCTCTCTGCTCCTTAGACTGCCAAA